GCCATACTGACATAAATGAACATTTGCACAATATTCTAATTTTTCGAGTTTCACCTGTAGAATCAAAGCTACTTGGTTCATTCAGGATCCAGATCCAAAAGAGCTGTGACAGTACAAGCCACTTGTTTTGAGTTGCCCATCTCCTATGCAAAGGTAACATTTTCTTTCTTTTTAAACCTTTTATCACAAATACCTCTTTTTATATTTTTGTACTGATGCATAGCTAAGACTCTCTTCTGCATTTGAAAAATTTTATGAATTCACTCTGATGTAAATATTATCTGCATATACTTACAGATACTTTTTGAGCTGCATTATCCCCGTGAATGGTAAGGAATGGGTTAGTAGCAGCTGTATGAAGTGGAGATGCTTGAGAGCCTGCCAGCAAGTTATTAATGGGAATCTGTGCTGCTCCCGAAAGCTGCAGTTGCTGTACTTCAGGCTGGTGCTGTTGCACTAGTTGATACAGAAGAGCCTGATGCTGTTCCTTTAGTACAATAGTGGAGGAGCACTGTAGTTAGTCACTTTATAGATGACAATAATTTTTCATGCATTCAGAGAAACAAGTAGTCAAACATGGGTGAAAGCTATGAACTTTTAAGTGGTTCTCACTCAGCCAGGATTTATAGACTTCTATCATAAGGATTCATTTTTCTGACTTCCGGTGGGGACATGGTGGCTTAGCCATCTCTCCGTGAGTAGGGAGAAAACACTGTAGCTGACCGGCAGCTGGCAGCAAGCGCTAGCTGCCCAACTTGCTCCAGATAAAGGAGGAAGCGAAGAAACTGGCCCATACGGTCCCCGGACGGCCATGTCTAGAAAGCTAATTGTGAAGATGGCAGCTTCTGCAAATGGCTTTCGCATTGAGCAACTGGGAGGGGGGGATCCACCTTGTTCGAAGCTGCGGTGCAGCCTTTCACGGAGACCAGAGCTGACCGAACCTCATTTCTTAAACACTTTGGATTATAGCTATTTTTCAATTTAAGAGAGACCTTCCTTGCAACAGATAAGTAATTCTCTTGGGGCTTATCCATAGTTTTGATTTTATATATTTAAAAGAAGAAATAGAGTTTTAATTTTAATCTGATTAATTGGCAAAAAGCTGGATGAAAAGTGGAACTTAAAAGGGACTTAAAATCCATTTATAGTGGAAAGGGAGAAGAACTATTTGTTAAAGGTTTATTTTTATGAAACTCCATCTGTAAAATTGGATTTGATTTTTCTATGGGAAAATTATTTTGTTTTTCTGTGGTTATGTTTGCTGATTGGCTGGATTTTTTAAAACAGAAGATAGTAATTTGAGCCCTCTGTGTATTTTTGGGTGGAATGTGTATGCAATTACAGTGTGAAAGGCACCAGAGGGTGTGAACTGTCTGCTACTTTCACTTATATTTCCTACGGTTGTTTGCCTAGGGGGAGAAAAAAAAATAGTAAGAAAACGGCTAGAAGAGGTTCTTTGGAGCGGCTGTCAGAGGATAAAACTACTTCTTTAAGGTTACTCCAATCAATGTTTGATGAATTAGGAGCTAGACTGAAGTCCCTTGAAAAAAAGAGGTGAATAAGATGGTTAATTTTGAAATGCAAGTGGAGATTGACTTGAAAGGGAATTTGGAGTTCCAAAAAATCCAGGATATTGAAAGTGGCAGGAATAATGATGTTGTGGATTTAAAAATGGATTTAAAAATGCCAGAGGATAAGAGTGATATGGAAAAGGATGCTAGAACGGATCTACAAGTGAAACCAACTGTAGTCACAGTGATTAAAGAGGCCATACAAATAATGGAAAAGAAGATTGATCTGGAAAGACTTTTTAGTTTGCATTCGCAAGAGGAATGTGCTGATTGGTGAGGCTGTTCCTGAGAAAAGCTAAAGAGAAATTATTGGGGCTGTTTTTGGGAGGACGGATGGAGAATCAACTTGTGGGACATTATTTGAAAGGATTAAAAATTAAGCTTTTCAAAAGTAAATAGAAGATTTACAAAGTAAACTTATTTGATGATGGTTAATATATGGATTGAGATTCTGGGAAGTTATTAATGGGATTTCTTTTTTGGACCAGGATTGAATGATGAGGTTTTAAGGATTTGTGAATAATGATTTAAGTTAAAATATATTTGTTATTAAATTTATGATTTTTTCTTTTTATATATGGTAATATGGGAAGTTGATGGAGTTGTTTGAGATGGAGAAGTTGATGGTTTTGATTCAAGATAAGACACTGTGTAATTTTAATGCTAATTGGAAACTTTTGGGGGGGGACTCTTTGTGGGAAATAGAAAAAAAATGAAAATATGTTATATGGATTTGAAAAATGAATCCATATGAATCTATCCATCCAGAAATAGTATGGGTTAATAGAAATAATGGAATTTATGTTGTAGCTTCAGAGTAAGAGTCTGATGTATGCTGTTACTTATATCTATTGTAAGGAGGGTCGGAAGTCAATTATTTTTTTTTTGTTTTTCGTTTTTCACACTTCTGATCTTGACTATTTCTCTTTTCTAATCTTTCTTTCTCTTTCTATCTTCTTTCTTAATATTAGTTCTTGCTAGTTTTTACTGTTTTGTTAAAAAATAATAAAGTTATTATAAAAAAAGGATTCATTTTTCTATAGTTTCTATCATTTTTGTATTCCAAACAAGTGACAATATTATTTCATTACACCAGGGAGGAAGAGCCAAAAATATTCTTCTTAAGGCTCTTCTATACAGAAGGGTTCCCTGCCTAATCAGAGATTATACATGGTAAGACCTGGATACAGAATACTCAGATTCAAATCCTGATCAACTATGAAGCTCACTGGACCCAAATCACCATCTTTGACAAGGTTATTGTAAGAACAACAACAACAACAAATCATTCTGAGCAAACAAGTATGAGAGAACAAATATAGCAGCCACAAAAAAGAAAATGAAAATAAGCAGAAAACCTCTCACTCATCCTGTGAACAATAAAACAAAAGAGAAAAAAGTTGAAAGGACAGGGCAAGAAAGAATATGTCAGCTGTCTTCTGACTGGGTAGACCAATGCAAACATTCAAATTACAACTGAGGAATCTGGCTGCACCAAAGTCAAAATACTGATGGGATAAGCTAAAAGTAAATTTTTGTTTTTGGACAACTGACATGGGAACCATCATGGCAAGATCTTTCTAAGGAACTACAGGCCTAATAGCTTCTCGGAAAGGGGGTATAGCTATCCTTTTGTGTTTTTGCTTTGCACGTATGTGTCCTTTTTGGAGTCAAGATTTAGAAAGCAGGGTGGGGTGGCCTTCTAACTTTTGCTGAAATGTATTTCCCAACAAACCAGCTAGCATGGCCAGTAATTGGGGATGATGGAATTTGTACTTCAGAAATATGTACTGGGTAACAGGTTTCTCCTGATTTAGAACAAGAAATGAACCAACTCCTGGGCAAGACTCAGTGAACTAGGTGAATTTAGCATGCAATAATATCACCCATTTTCTTGGTCATGAAGTGCTTTCTAAAGGAAAATTGTAGACAGCCAATAGGGGAAGATCTTGGTTTTGACTATCCCAATGGGTAGGAGAGCAGTCTGCAAAAGTAGATCTTTAGAGGGATCTGTCCTAAATATGTTTCTGAGATCAAATCATGTGCTTGAAGAGAAATTGGTGAGGACCAGACAGTACAAATCAAATTCATCAATAGCAGGAACAGCAGTAGCATAACTGAAGAAGGCAGTGTAGAAGGAACTCATGGATCCTAGACCCTGAACTGAGGAGGCAACAGGAGCTTTTTCTTATTGCCCTGGTTGAAATCTGAAGCCTCTGAGAAAGTTCTGAATTTTTAATGAGTGATTTTCACAATGTTGATAATGGTGCAAAAGAGATCTGCACATCTCTAGATGGTAGAGAATTCAATCAATCTCTTGGAAAAAATGAGAGAACCATCAGGTAATCTGGGGGACAAAGTAGGAGACTTGGAAGAATATAAGGGAGTTACAATATCTTTGAAGTCTACCATCCCTGAAGTTTGCTTCAGAAAGTGGTTCACAAGCAAGAATTGCAACAAACCTATTTAGTAAATGCCTGGCAGGGATAATGGATGTCTATTTCACCAAGGCAAAAAAGGCCCAGTTCATGCCCATTTGCTCTCACAACACTAGCACTTGTGAAATAGATTCTTATAGCCATAAGGCTGAAGGCTGGACGTCTGTGACAGGAAAAGGTGTCAAAGGAAAATTCTAAGGATTTTTGAAGAAATGCTGAGAAAAGACTAAAGAAAATAGAAATAATAAGTAAGGAAAGAATGTCAGTAAAGCAGAAAAACAAACATGTTAAAGTTGTGATGGCATAAAACAGATTGAAGGAGATCAGTGGGAACTATGTCTAGGGGCCTCCAACAAAACAAAACTGTAAACCCTAGACAGGTCTGAATGGGGCTCTATGCAGCAGAAAACCCAAGTGTGTGAATCAGAGACCATAATGATATATAATTGTGCATACATTCTTACTGCTCCTCTATTTTTTGATGCAATAAATGAAGACACGCTCCTTCCTTCCTTCCTTCCTTCCTTCCTTCCTTCCTTCCTTCCTTCCTTCCTTCCTTCCGGTGGACATAAGGCATATGTTTTTTATCCCATTCTTTCCTATGTTTTTTAAAACTGCAGATCTTGGGATTATCCATGAACATTCTGGTGTTACTCAGAGATAGACTGTAATGTCTTAGTTTTATAAGCATCAGCACTCATTCCTGAACACTGGAAATATAATTAATTATAAAATAGAAAAGCTTACTGATGTGAATTGTTGAGTATTTAGTAACTGCTGAAATTGCTGCTGCTGTTGATGCAGCAGAAGTTGTCTCTGCTGGTCAGGAAGAAATCCAAGTCCGGAGGCACTGCAAAATAGCAAGACATATTTACTGAGCAAACATACTTGAATCATTTCTATACCATACTTTCTGAAAAAGTAAACCATTTAAAACTAAGATATATACAGATTTATATACATAGGCTGATTATGCATTTCTAAGCATCTACTCAATTCTTATCTTAAAAGCTTTTACTGATATAACATTAGAAAATAAATACAACTGAACTAGCAAAGTACTTAATGCCACTGATCTGATAACAAAATAACTGGTATGTTTAATTGTACAAACACAGAAAATCTCATCCACATTTTCAGTTGCGTGTTGAGCTATTCTAAGAAGCAGGGATGACAGCCATCAAATGCCTCTCTACACTTTTAAAAATATATGAATTTTTCTTGCACTATATAAAAAATAGTGCATATTTTCTGAAACAAAACATATACTTAAAAATATATACTAGTATCAATATAAAATATTTTCAAATTAAGCATTAAAAATCTGTTATTCCCTGCAGTTTCTAGGTTTTGTACATTTTTTATTCCAACTGACAATTCCGTGGCCCACTGCAATCATTCCGACTATTACATTCTAGAATTCCTCGTATGAAGGAATATGGAGTCTCATATTTCCTTTCAGTCAATCACTAAATATGGATTTTTGACTGCTCACTTCTGGAAAATTAACTTTTTCTCAGGTCTCAACTTTAATATGATTTAACCATTAGTTCTATACAAGCTTTTCATATGAAGGACACAAACAAATCTGATATTTCATGAGTCATCTGGAAAAACTCATTTAAGAGCAAATGGGAATAACTGAAGAGAGCAGGGTATACCAAAACAAGTCAAACAATAGCAATGCCGCCTGTTGTACCCATGTTATTTCTGGGACTGCAAAACTTGGGGATCCCATACATTTTCCATACAAAGCATCAACTTGACCACTGGGCAAACAGTGAATGCTAATAATGTGTGGGAAACATACATTTCCTATGACAATCTTAAGACTGAGTTCCTATTTCCTCTTCCAAAGGAGCTTTGAAGACTGTTAACCAGTGAAGCTCTTTTTGAGTCATGTAAAATCTTTCTATACAGTGGTACCTCGGGTTACGAACTTAATTCGTTTCATGACTCTGGTCGCAGCCCGAATTGGTCGCAACCCGAAGCAAATTTCCCCATAAGGTTCAATGTAACTACCATTGATCCATTCTGGCGTGGAGGACAGGGAGGC